GGGAGTTTATGGTTTCATAACTTTTATGAATAATTTCAAAACAATCAGTGATAAAGTTCATTTCTCTAGCTAAAAACATATATTGGACGAAAGAGAAATGAAAAGTACAATATCTAAGGAATAACAAATTTCGAACTAGTTAGTAATTTGATGAGTTAAAAGGAATACTTTCTGCACGACAAACTCAATTTTTCAAATTATTAAATTTTGTTAACTACTTCTGCCAATTTTTGAGAAAACCATAACTAATAAATCATGCCTTCAAGGCACAAAAGAAATAACTTGCTTTAGAAATACTGAAAASTCAAGGTTCAGGTTAAAAAACGTGCGCAATTTCAGCCAATRAAAACTAWAGAGAATTTCCTTTTGGCAATAATAAAATGCAAAAGCTTTGGTTTCGTGAAAAATATAATGGCATTGAAGTAAAATGTTTTACTATTTACTTTAATGGGTGATAATTTGGATGATATTTGAAAAGTATATTTAATAACTAGTACCTGTCCATCTTTTCATATGACCATTGCTTACTCAACATCCCCACATAGTTGTTACTGCAATCGAATGAAGGTGCCTTAATGCAAATCTTTGGCAAGTCTACCGAATTATGACTGATGTTAGGTGGGTGGTTTTGGGAAAATAGTAGATAAAGGAAATGCGCACACAGCAGTTTACAGACATACAAACATACATATTGGTATATATATGTCAATGTATGGGTGTGTATGTTTTGGGCTTGTTTCTTGTGTTTTTGAGGGGGCGGAAATATTATGTGATGTTGAAAAATTGGCAATACAAGAGAGTTTRAKAAAGTGAATCACAAATAAATAATATAATTTTGTAAATATGTTTACCAATTCGTTTAGGGTTGATATTTGGAAAAAAATTTGCTTGAATCCTAATGGTATGCTGCTTCAAATAGCGCATACAGGAAAGCGTTCATGCGAGCTTTGAATCGTTGCTTAAAATACGTTATGTTTAGCATACTTTTAGGTTAGATAAGTTGGAAAATTTTGTAGATAATTTTCAAAATTTCGTGGATAATTTAGAAAATTTATGATAATTTAGATGATTTTGAAAACTGCTTGGATAATTT